CTTGGCGTCACCACTACGTTCCCTGGTCACGAGCGGTATGCTGTCTGTACCGAGGCCGCCACTGGTGCCCCCCTGTCCACGTTCCCCCAGGACCCGGTGTCCGGCCTGTTCACTCTGGACACCGTGACCCCCCCGGCTGGAGCGCTCACCCAGGTTGCTGCTGCCTGCTCCTGTCGGTCCCTCACTCACCCGACCCTCCTTTGGCACCACCGCCTAGGTCACCCTGCGCTCCCGCGTCTGCGTCACATGTCCCAGCACGGTCTTGTCCTTGGTCTCCCAGGTTCCCTCCCCGCGTTTCCCTCCTCCCCATCCCCACCTTGCACGCCTTGTGTCGAGGGTCGGCTTCGCCGTGCCCCTCACTCCTCCTCGTTTCCCCCTACCGCCGCGCCGCTGCAGACCCTGCACCTGGACGTCTGGGGCCCCGCCCTCGTCCCTGGGCCGCGTCGAGAGCGCTACTTCCTTGTGCTTGTCGACGACTTCACTCGTTACACCACAGTCTTTCCCCTGGAGCGCAAGGCCGACGTGCCTGGCGCTCTCATCCCCTGGCTTGTCTCTGCGCGTGTCCACCGCGTTCTCCCTGTCTTGCGTCTTCACTCAGACCGTGGTGGCGAGTTTGCCTCAGGTGTCCTTGGTCGCTTTTGTCGTGCGGAGGGCATCACCCAGACGTTCACCCTACCGGACTCCCCACAGCAGAATGGGGTCGTTGAGCGACGCATCGGTTTGGTCATGGAGGTGGCTCGCACCTCCATGATCCATGCCGGTGCACCCCATTTTCTGTGGCCGTTCGCTGTGCGCTACGCTTCTCACCAGCTTAACTTGTGGCCGCACCCTCAGCAGCCGCAGGTTTCGCCGACCCGTCTTTGGACTGGGTCTCCTGGTGACGCGTCTGCGTTCCACGTCTGGGGCTGCCTTGCTCACGTCCGTGCCTCCGGCACGGACAAGCTCACTGCCCGCACCCTTCACTGCGTCTTCCTCGGTTTTCCCCTTGACGCGTCCGACTGGCACTTTTACCACCCCCCGTCTCACCGCTTCTTTCACTCTCGTGACGTCACCTTTGACGAGTCCGTCTCCTACTACCGTCGCTTCCCCCACCGTGGTCCTCCGGTTACCCCCCCCCTGTTCCTGGTCACTCCTTCCCCGGTAGTCCCTGCCCCTCCTCCTCCTCCTCCCCGTCCCGCCCCCTCTGGTGTGTCCCACGTCACCCCCCTTCCGTCGGTGGACCCGGTTGAGGAGTCTTCTGACTCTGGTGGCCCTCCTGTTCAGTCCTCGCCGGCCCCCCCTCCCCTGGCGTCCCCTCCCCAGTCCCCTCCTCCACCGCCTCTGCCGCCGCTGCAGCCGTCGTTGTTGACGCCGCCGCCACCGTCGCAGCACCCGTTCGCTGACTCTGGGGGTGCTCGTCCCGGTAGCCCTGGGGGTGGTCCCTCTGGGGGTGCTGGTGTGGAGAGTGCCGGTGGCAGCCGAGGAGCAGCTTGCGGTCCAGGTGTCGCCGTTGTGCCGCTGCAGCAGCAGTCCCCGCCGGTGTCAGCCCTTCGCCTGCTCGGCCTTCCGTCCCCCGACCTTGCGTCGGTTCCTCCCCGACTGTCTCCTCCTCTTCCTGTCTACGGCCCTGTTTTCCCTCCGCCGGCCTCGTCCCCGGCCCGTCTCCCCCCTCGTTCCCCTCCTGTGTCCCCTCCTCTGTCTCCTGACCCGACTCCCCCGTCGCACGTCTGGTCTCACCGTCCCTCCCGTGCTCGTCCTGCCTCGCCTGTCTTGAGCTCCCACCCTATGTTGCTTCGTTCCCACGCGTCTCGTCCTCCCCTTCTGCCGTCGCCTCCTTCGTCCTCCCTTGTTGTTGCACCCCCCCCGCTGTCTGACTACCTTCGTGCCGCTCGTCCCCTTGTTCCTCGGGTCCTTGCCTCTCTCGTTACCGACCCGTCTGTTCCGGTCTCGTGCCTTGACACTCTTGTCGCTGCTGTCGCTGACTTCGCCTCTACCCGCCGTCTTGACTACGCCACCGCTGTGGTCTCTGAACCTGCCTGTCCTCCGTCTGTCGGGGGTGCTCCTGCCCTTGGCAGTGACGTCCTGGAGGACCGCCAGTTCGAGCTTGCTTTCCTCTCCGAGGCTGCTCCCCATCTCTGTTCCATGCTGCTAGTCCCTGAGGGTGACCCAGACGCTTTCGACATCCCGACCCCTCGCACTTACGCTGAGGCGACTTCGGGACCCTGGGCCTCGCAGTGGATAGCTGCCATGGAGCAGGAGATGGCATCTTGGAGATCCACCGGCACCTTCGTCGACGCAGTTCCCCCACCTGGGGTGAACGTAGTCGATGGCCGCTGGCTCTTCAAGGTGAAGCGCCCTCCTGGAGAGCCGCCTGTCTTCAAGGCGCGCTATGTGGCTAGAGGCTTCAGTCAGCGCGAGGGGGTGGACTTCTTCCAGACCTTCGCTCCGACCCCGAAGATGACTACTCTTCGGGTTCTGTTACACCTAGCTGCTCAGCGTGACTACGAGCTTCACTCCCTCGACTTCTCCACTGCCTTCCTTCAGGGCAGCCTACACGAGCAGGTCTACCTGCGTCGCCCTCAGGGCTTTACTGGCACCTTCCCTCTTGGGACCCAGTGGCTCCTGCGGCGCCCCGTCTACGGCCTGCGCCAGGCTCCCCGTAAGTGGCACGACACTCTCCGTGCTACGCTTGCTGACCTGCAGTTCTTTCCGTCTTCCGCAGACCCTTCACTCTTCGTTCGTGCTGGCCAGACTCCGTTCTACATCCTTGTTTACGTCGACGACCTGGTCTTTGCCACAGCAGACAGGGACGCACTGGCCTCCGTGAAGGCAGAGCTGCTGAAGAGACACACGTGCACTGACCTTGGAGAACTGCGCCGTTACCTTGGCTTGCAGATCTCCAGGGACAGAGCTGCGCGCACCATCACCCTGACTCAGTCACACTTGGTGCGCCAGGTCCTTCAGAGGTTCAGCCTTCAGTTCTCCTCAGCACAGCCCACCCCTCTGCCTGTAGACCACAGGCTCTCCGCTCCAGTGTCTGAGGAGTTGGTAGAGCCCAGCGGCCCCTACGCAGAGCTGGTGGGTTGCCTCATGTACCTGATGACTTGCACTCGCCCAGATCTCGCATACCCTCTCAGCATCCTGGCTCGTTTTGTGGCCACATGCAGACACCGACCTCAGCACTGGTCTGCCGCTAAGAGGGTTCTGCGTTATCTTGCTAGTACATCGGGCATGGGGTTAGTGCTAGGAGGACGCAGGCCAGTGGTCCTTACTGGACACACAGACGCTTCGTGGGCAGACGACGCTGAGACACTCAGGTCTACCCAGGGCTACTGCTTCAGCCTTGGCTCAGGTGCCGTTTCGTGGAGAGCTACCCGCTCCTCGTCTATGGCGCAGTCCAGCTGTGAGGCTGAGATCTACGCTGGTGCCATGGCGGCACAGGAGCTCCGCTGGCTGACCTTCTTGCTCACTGACTTAGGTGAGCGACCTAGCTCTGCCCCGGTCCTGTTCGCTGACAACAGGGCCATGATCCTCCTGTGTCAGGAGCCTCGACTCGAGGGCAGAGCGAAGCACATTCAGCTGCGGTACTTCCTCCTGCGTGAGCTACAGCAGCGACGTCAGGCTCGCGTAGTACACTTGGCCTCAGGTGCCAACACGGCTGATATCTTTACGAAGGCGCTTGCGCCTAAAGATCATCAGCGGCACTGTGTACAGCTTGGTCTAGTTCCTGTAGCCTCTCACTTGCTAGGACCTTGACTTTGTACTGTCCTTTATATGTATACTCAGACTGGACTTGTGTCCTCTCCCAGTGGCTGGACTAGTAGTGCCGCCCTGCTCTTGTTCTTGCCTTGTCTGTACTCCTTCTGACTGGTCTCTCAGACCCTTGTCTAAGAGGTTGGACTAGTAGTGCCCAGGCCTCTGGATAGGATAAGAAGTACTCTTTCTTGTAAGGGTACTCGCTTGCTGCCACTTTTTCTGTAAGGGTATATTTAGAAGCTACTTAGTAATATAAGGGTCCTAAATATTTGTACTTTTTCACATAAGGGTATAACTCCAGCGCAGCCTTACACTTTACTGTAGTTACAGGATCTCGCGTGATCAGACGACTGACGTGTTGCAGATATGTGACGACGTGCCTTGGGTGGCACTCGAAAGGGTGCACCAAGATTTTTGTTTTTGTTTGTTAGCGCTGAAGTGGGGGGAATGTCGCACCTCGGTAATTTTGCTGTTAGTGCGTATTTCTACATTAGTGCGTTCAGTACCAGGGAACCAAACTTCGCGAAGTACCAAATCGAACCGAACATGAATTCGCGTTTTGACCCTCGGACCTCACCGTTTCGCGTTTCAGAGTCCATTCCGGGTTTGCTGGTACTGATTACTGTCTTGTAGAAATACGACCTCATTCCCTAGACCCTTCCTGGTCGCGACCTCATTTCCCGTTGGTGCCGCACTCGTTTTTTTTTTTTTTTTTTTTTTTTTTGGTTCTTTCATTCCTTAGCTAATGTAGTGGCCGATACGACTCTACCAACACGAATTATACATTCAAGACGGCAAGTTTTGTAACCGTGCGCATGAATTCTTGGGTGAGTGGCAGCAAAAAAAACATAAACCATTAGCAGAAGAAATTGACGACTTGAATCCCCGTCGTGCGCGGGCAGGGGCCAGGTAAAAACCCGTGGAAACTTCAATTCAAGTCGCCGAGATTCCCTCGCCGAAGTGGGTAGGGGGAAAGAGAAAATTTGACATACCGTAATCACCCGGATAGACGCCCCTCCGTAGGATTAGTCCCATGGGCTTTAACTCGTGCATTGGGACTTATAAGCATTATTCGATTACACGCCCCTCCTCTCTGCTCTGGATCAAATCCCTATACGCCCCCCCCTCTTTTGAAACAGCATTTGAAGGAACTAGCCAAGTTAGGCAAAATGCACTAAAAACATAATTTTTTAGACAGTTAGAAGTCATCCTATTCAAACCTTAACCTGGTATATGCAACACTTTCAGGCTAGCATTGGTTATCGCACATTACACCTACTCCTAGTCTACTCCTACTCCTCCTCCCCTTCCTCCTCATCCTCCTCATTCTCCTCATCCTCCACCTCCTCCTCCTCCTCCTCCTCCTCCTCCTCCTCCTCCTCCTCCTCCTCCTCCTCCTCCTCCTCCTCATCCTCTGCAGCCCCACCTTCAGAGCCTACCGAGTTGTCTCCAGAGAAGCCATCCGCCCCGACCTCGTCATCAACATCCACCTCTGCCTCTCGCTTGTTGCGCATGTGCTGGAGGGTCAGATAGTCTTCACTGCCGTCGAGCGAGTTGCTAATGCCACACGTCTTGAAAGCCCTCTAAATGAGGGTGGCAGGGATGGCCCTCCACGCCTTGGAGATCCACTTCAGGATCTCCTCCGGTGGAGGCTTCTTGAGGTTTCCTGCGCCAGCAAACATGAGTAACCACTCAGTTAGAACCATGTTTACAAAAAACAAACTGTTAAAAACAAGCCACAAGATACTCACCCTTAGCGGTCTTGGAATACATCCCCACGGAGTCAAACCACTCCTGGTAGTATTGCCTCACCCGAGCCTTGAAAGCTCGGTTGACGCATACGTCCAGGGGCTGCACGACGGAAGTGCAGCCCGCGGGGATGACTCCGGGGACGACAGCAAGCTTCCCATAGCATTCCTTCACTTCAGGCGTCAGGTGACCACGGTAGGAGTCAAGAATCAGTAGGGCAGAGCGCGCACGCAAACCAAATCTTGGGCGGATGAAGGGCTCGACGGCGTTTTCTAGCCAGGTCTTCACACCGTCCGCATCCATCCAACCGTTGGGCTGTGCCGCAACGACGACATCTGCATAAAGACAGAGTATAAGCTTGGTTAACGCGATTGAAGAACAAGGAAACAAAAAACACACTCACACACAGAAGCTGCGAAACCAAAACATACCAGCGGGGAAATCCCCTCGAGGGACGGTCTTCCTCTTGAAGTAGACCCACGGCTTCAGCTTCTCTCCCCCTGCCGTGCACGCGAGCATAACAGTGACTCGCTCCTTCTGGTAGCCGGCGGAGCGGATAGGGACGGAGTTGACGCCGACCTGCTCGACGGTGCGGTCAGCCGGCATCTCCAACCACAGTGGAGTTTGGTCGGCGTTGATTATCCAGCGCTCTTCAATGCCGTACATCCTCCGGACCTCCCTGCAGAATCTCCAGAAGTTTTCGACCTCTGCCGAGCAACCTGTGGGAGGGCAGTATGGGAATTCGAAAAAAACACAACTTAGTACAACATTCGTATGGAGCGACAGTGTGAACTCGAATAAGAGAGTACGTACATAAGCGGAAAGAATAGACAGAAACGGATGCAATGACGGTGTACTTACTATCGGTCATTTTCTGACCGACTTTCGTCTTGGCGCGAACCGACAGATTCCACCTTGACCGGAATCGTTCGGTCCAGCGGTAGGAGCCCTGCCATTTAACGTCGGGGTGAAGAACCTTCATTAACTCCCGTGACCACTTCTGCAGCCTTGACACCGGGACCGGAGTTCCCACAGCGCGCGCGGCGAGAAGCTTCGAATACACCTGCGTCTCCATATCGGCGTACGAAGAAGACCTCCCCTGCCCATGCAGCCTCTTACGGCAGCCGTGGGCAGCTCTCAGCTCCTCCTCGTGCTTCGACCAGTCGTTGATGCGGCGGCGCGAGATTCCAGACTGTCGTGCGACTTCATTCTTCTTCTTTACCTCTTTCAGTCGGTCCAGCCAAAAAAGCTTCTCCTTCGCCGTGTAGGACTTTCGCTTCCTCCCGTTCATCCGATTCCTGGGGGATGGGGGGCAGGCATCTCGATTCACAGAAGAAGGATGTGGCGGTTTTCTGCCCTCGGGAAACGACGGCACAGGGAGCTTCTCAGGAAGACCATCCCGAGACCAGTACTCGGCTCCATCATCAGCATCCACGTCGTGCTCGGGCCACTCATCGCCGTGCGGAATCCCCCAATCACGAGCAGCAGGTGGCGCAGCGGAAGAGCTAGCGTTAGGCTTTGGATGTGCATTGATGTCGTCTTGCGGAATCTTCTCGCCCGACAGCAGCAGAGTCAGGACTGGCAGTCCGTACAGGTACGGAGGAGCGGGTGGCGCTGGCGGGGCAGGAGGAGTGGGAGGAGCCGGCGGAGCAGGAGGGGCAGGGGGAGCCGGAGGAGCCGGAGGAGCGGGAGGTGCGGGAGGAGCTGGACGATGCTCTGCTCTAATGCGCGTGGGCTCGCCTGGTCTACCAAAAAGGATCAAAATGCCAGACATGGGAAAGCCAGCCATAGCTCCCGCAAGGGGAGCTGGTGCTGCTTCAGCGTTCACATCGATAGGAAATGAAATACTGAACCCCTCGACGAGGTACCCCCTCCTGGAAGGCGGCTTGGGTTCCTCGTCGGGGTCAGATTCCTCGTCGATGAAAGGGGTGGAGGAAGGAATATTTTCAGCAAGATTCCTGTCCAGATTCCTGGTACCCCAAGCCACGTGGCTGCCCTGGTGCGGATGTTGCAGGAACGTGGTCCCCAACACCACCGAACCATGTGTGCTGGCACAGCACGGCACCAGGATTGCTTGTGATAGGGCCGCATGGCAACTTTCATGCCTTGCTGTGCTGGGCGCACATTCAAGCCTAGTTTCCATGCCTGTTCTCAGCGTGTCCCCTCTGGAACCACGCCCAATAGCCTACAAACATCAAGACCTACAGTTTTCCATTTTTTTAAAAAATATTCTGTAAAATTCGTTATAAACGCCCATGGGCGTATATTTTTTATTCAATTAAACGCCCCCCCTTGATTAAAAACCAGTCCTATAAACGCCCATAGGGGCGTCTATCCGGGTGATTACGGTATCACGTCCAGGGCTTTCTTTTCGTTTCAGGCTACCCTATAATTTCAAAGTAGTTATTCCCCTGAGTCTGACTGGAACACACTTGGAACTGGGGGACTTAGCCGAATCCTCCGGGTTGCGAAGGTACTACAGCGGCTTTGTCTCTGCGAGTGGGGGACTTCACCAATTTTTCGGGGTCGCTCGAGGGCTGCGGAAGGAATGCCTTTGGCAGTGGGGGACTTAGCCGAAATTTTGGGTTGCGGGGGGTATAGGAGGAATGACTCTCGGATTGGGGGGACTTAGCCGAAATCTACAGGTTGCCAAGGGGATAAAATATTATAGGGGGGGATCGCATGTGTGATTGTGTAAGGGTGATTTTACACAACATTTTTCCGCATCAGGGTCCCTACACTCGACCACTTTGAAAAAACAGGGTCCCGTATAGATCTAGTTTTTTTCATAAGGGTCAAAAACTAAACCACTATTTAAAATAAGGGTCCAACAGCTACCCCACCCTTATTATAAGGGCCGTAAAGGTATTTTTGTCAACTTATACATATTATCTATGTAGAAGTTATAGGCGAGACTGAGGTATGCTTCTAGTGAGTACAACCAACTAGTATTTGTTCTAGGTTTCCACCTCTAGTAAATCATTCGTTTCTACGTTAACATGGTATCACGCTTAGGTTAGGATCCCCCCGCCTACCGCTTCCGCCCGTCGCGCCTCCTAGGCCCCGTCGCGCCCCCTAGGCCCCGTCGCGCCCCCCCTGGGCCCCGTCGCGCTCGTTAGGCCCCGTCGCGCCCCCCCTGGGCCCCGTCGTGCCCGTTGGGCCCCGTCGCGCCTCCTAGGCCCCGTCGCGCTCCCCCTGGGCCCCGTCGCGCCCACTGGGTCCCGTCGCGACCCCTAGGCCCTAACTCGCCCCCGCTGGGCCCCGTTGCGCCTCCTAGGCCCCGTCGCGCCCCCCATGGGCCCCGTCGAGCCCGCTGAGCCCCGTCGTGCCTCCTAGGCATCGTCGCGCCTCCTAAGCCCCGTCGCGTCCCCCCCCTCTGGGCCCCGTCGCGCCCGTTCGGCCCCGTCGCGCCCCTCCTAGGCCCCGTCGCGCCCGCTGGGCCCCTTCGCGCTTCCTAGGCCCCGTCGCGCCTGCTAGGCCCCGTCGCGCCCCCCCTGGGCCCCGTCGCGCCCGTTAGGCCCCGTCGCGGCCCCCCTGGGCCCCGTCGTGCCCGCTGGTCCCCGTCGCGCCTCCTCGGCCCCGTCGCGCCCCCCCTGGGCCCCGTCGTGCCCGCTGGGCCCCGTCGCGCCCCTTAGGCCCCGTCGCGCCCGCTGGCCCCTGTCGCGCCTGCTGTTAGCGCTCGCCCGCCTGGCCTCCTCCTAGTGCCGCTCGGCCTCCTCCTAGTGCCGCCCGGCCTCCTCCTAGTGCCGCCCGGCCTCCTCCTAGTGCCGCCCGGCCCCTTCCTAGCGCCGCCCGGCCTCTCCTCAGCGCTGCCCGGCCCCTCCTCGTGCCCGACCGGCCCCAGCAGCACCAGCCTGGCCCCTCCCAGCACCAGCCCGGCCCTAGAGCACCTGCCCGCCTCCCCTGCTCGGCCTGCCGTGTCCTCTCGGGCACTGTGTCTTCTGCTTGCCTGCGCTGGGACGCCTAGCTGCTGCCCTACTGGAGAGTGCTGCCGCCGTGTCCCCGCGCCGCTGTGCTCCTGTGCCGCTGAGGAGCTGTGCTGCTGTGCCGCTGTGTCGCTGAGGAGCTGTGCCGCTGACCCTGCACGATGGCTGACTTTGTGCTCCGCCTGGACGCTGAGGGCCACGCGGTTGACTTCGCCGCCTGGCTCTCCGATCTTCGCCGCCAGCTTACAGGTCAGCGCCAGGATGGCCACTCTCTGGTTGTCCATGCTGATGGCTTGCTCCCCCGTCCCCCTGCACCTACTCCCCTCCCTGCTGACCCCTCCTCTGATGACCGTGAGGCTTTCTCTACTGCTGCGCTAGCCTGTGCGGTCTGGGACTCACGCGATGCAGTAGCTCAGGTTGCTATTAGTCACGCCCTCCCTGTGTCTGAGCGCTCGCGTTTTGCTACTGTTGAAACGGCCAAAGCTTATTTAGACGCCGTTATTGCTCGCTATTCCACCCCTGCCTCCGCTTCTGCTGGCCGCTTGCTCTTTCCGATGCTGTTCCCAGACCTGGCTGCCTTCCCTACTGTCGCAGATTTTGCCACTCATTTGCGTGCCCTAGAGACTCGCTATCGCACTGCCAGCACTGCTGCCCAGCTCACTGCGCTCCCCCCTCCTTTCTGCATGACGCTCTATTTTATCGCTATGCGCCTGCCAGACCGCCTCGCTAGTGCTCGCGACCACTTTCTTAGCCAGCACCCGGGTGACCTCACCCTGACCGCCTTTGTCGACACCCTCACTGAGATCGAGACTCGCCAGCGCACTATCGCTCAGTCGAGCGGTGCGCCGG